TCACTCAGGACTATGAAAACACTTCGTGTTTTTGCAGCCACTATCTTCAATGATTTCGCAAGAGCATTACACGAAGTTCTGCTTTTTCCTGCATTGGACAGGAATACCTGCTTTTTGCCAGAGAAAGCTTCTTGCTCGAGGAGAACTCGAAGGTAGTGCCTCTACTGAGGGCGTGTCTTCCTCTGGTGGCAATGATCCTTTGTTGAGCCTTTGGAGATGAGCTTTTGTTGAGCCTGTGTACGTGTGTTTGCTGCTGCAGTGCGTGCGTGCCCGTGCGCTGCACCGTGCGTGCGTGCGTGTGTTGTTGTCGCTCGCTGTCGCTATGCCGCGGGACAATTTCGTTCCGTTAAAAAACGAACAACTTTACTAGCGGACGTTATGAACGCGCTACCTGCTATACGTACTCGCAATCGGATCGAGCCCCGTACTTACAATCAAGGCTTGCCGCTGCCGCGCCACATGGCTGGGAAAAACGCGGGCCAATGCTGTGTGCAAGTTTTTCGTGACATCACTGTACACGTGTATCATCACATGTCAACAAAGAAAACCACGTATTGAGCTGTTACGGTTATCGGTAATTCTAAAATATTAACACCGGTATACCGCCGTTGCACTGCAATACGAGTGCTATCAATCGTTAGCAGCCCTGGATCTCAGCCCACAAAAAGAAACAAACATTAAACCAACAGTGGTAAAATTTCTGTTGATTCATTTATTTCCATTCATTTATGAAGCCATTGAAAACACGACAGTTTGTTACAAGTAATCATATGCCGGGATGGTGCGGTCCCCGACGTGCCGCCGATAAAGGAGGTCGGACTGTACATCGCGTAGCGGCATGAAATTTTTTTCTGTGATTTTCTCGATAAAGTAAAGGTGTTGGGTCTTCTAAAACCATGCTCCCCGTCTGACATAATTGGACTATTCTGTCATTTTGAAAGGTGGTTATGAGCTCGGTAGGTGCTTCCCTGAGCTGCAGATATCGATTTCCTGCAAAAATCGGCGACGTCGGCCAGAAAATAAATCAAATTTTAAAGTTATTCTCCCCAATAGGGTAGCAGTCTTCACTTATTAAATGGTGTTCGTAGAGCCCTTATACTAGACTTGCGTGAAGAATTGCGCGCTTTGATAGAATTTACTTCACAGGGGTCAACACTTTTTTGGCAAAAAACCGGTGGGTTAATAGTAGTCTATTCCTACTGTGTATTTGTGCACAATGGCGTGCGCGCTATAGGAATGTGTGTTGCAGCGGTGTATTGGACGGCTATATTGAAGTGAAGGTATTAGGTCAAATCAAACTATGAATACTGCCAGCGTCTAGTACTGACAAGTTGCTAGCTTATTAACGCATCATTTTATTATTGCAAAAACGCGCCCAAGTGCCTGCATGCTGCCTCTTGACAGATTGCTCACACGACTGATTGGGTTGTGATTTAGGTGTGGGTTAGCGCCTAAACCCACACCAAATCCACCAAAGATCGTCGGTGTGGTCATTGGTAAACGGAATCTCGGCGACTAGCTATTTACATGCCATACTATTACTAATTAGTAATTACTATTTACGCTATTGTGCGCACGACGACACCATTCGACCCACAGGCACTTGGAACGTCTCAATAAAAAAAAAAAAGGGTAAATAAACACGAAATGTATTTACTAGGGGCCTACCAAGTCTTAATGTTTCTCTACTCTATTTCGCTATAAACTATCAAGTATAATCACCTTGTAAATGCGGTCAAATGCTCATCTGCAACACACCAAGTACACCGCACGTAGCTGCTGCACACTGGACAACATAAATATATATAGCAGGTACCGTAGGAAAGCGTGCTGCCAAAATTCGCTTGACGCTCGCTTGATTTCATCACGAATACAACACAATATTCAAACCAATTCTACTCCATCTTTGCTTTCTATTTGAAAGAACAGTGTTTACTTTGTTATTAAAAAACACATGTCTGCTGTTCGTAGCCGAGCTGTGTCACGCGAAAATCCATACTTAAAGCGCCTGACGATAAGTCTCGCGTTCGCCCTCCCGTGCGCAAGTTTATCGTAAATGCCGTTGCAAAGTACCTAGGCTTATAGGCGCGCCGCACTGCCATTTTGGGAACACTACCACGCGGCTTTCCAACTCCCGTACGCAGCATCCCGTCAAAGCCAGCCAGCCTGGAGCGTCTGCAAAAACGTTGCAGCGTGTGCGCGCGCATAAATGAGCCGTCACGAAGAGCCGCCGCCGTGGGTGTTTCCTGATTCCGACAGCCATTTACAATAAAGGCTGCGCAACCCAGGAGCGAACGCCTTTAGAATTTGCGTCTCAGGCTTGTGTTGATTTGCATGCACACAGCCTCAGTTACGAACACGACAGTTGTATGTTTTTAGTAGCTCGATCTGACGTAGTCAGATGCAGCTTTTGTAGAATCGCAATGCCATCGTCCGCTCCGTCCGAGCCGTCGGCTTGCGGGCGATCCGTCCGTCCGTCAACAGTTGCGGCCACAAACTTAACCGCTCCGACTTACGGTCACGATATTCGCCGGACGTTAATCCGAAAACGAGTTTGGGATGTCGAAGCTGACGGGGCTCAAGGTTCAAAGGTCAAGCAGGTGCTAAAAGAAGGGGAACATTCCCTCCTTAAAACTTAAAGGTATAGGGCAGGAAATGGCAGAATTGCGCCACAAATTGCTAAACGGCTCGGACTAGGCCGTTTGATAGGCGGTGCTATAGCTCATGTCAGAAAGCCATCACTGTGCCGAAATTGAGAGGTCACAGGTCAAAGCGTCAATGGGGCCAACAGGGCAGATTTTATACATTTTCTGAGGACATCGGTCTGACGGAGCAATGAAAAACTTTTTACCTGTTTCAGCGGTGACCTAGGCATTCTTTATGGCTTTATTGAAAAGGACCATGAAATGTACTTCTGCTGACCATGCGAATAGCTAAGTGTCGCGATAAACCTTTTGACCCTCAAGAGCGATGGTTAAACAGGGATTTGTTTACTGTCTGTTAGAAGAATTTGACTGCCGGCGGTTTGCTAGTAGAATCTATACATGCCTGGATGTATGAGGCTACAATGTCAGAGTGAAATTTCAAAAGCTAAATTTGGTTGAAGAAGGTTTATGCTCCTTAAATCGTATAATTTTTATGGCATTCTGTACTGTCAGTGTGTTACAATCATGTAACTTATGCCACTGCCAGTGGCCACTGCCAGTGCATGTGGTGGTGATAGTACTGTGTAGTTTTTGCCTACGTTAATTAGTTACAGGTGGCAGCTCTCTATTTCAGCCTGTAGGCTTGCGTAGGTAAATGGATGAGTGCTTACCTATTCTGTCTTGCAAATAGTTGTTGCTACTACGTACGATGGGATATTCCATCTTTAATCTTAAGACACTTAAACGTATGCGCCATCTCGTGGCAACTTTCATAACGATCCCAACGAACATTCTTTTGAGAAGGTTCCTGATACCATCCCTGTGCCTTCCACTGTTTCGGCGCGTATGTGAACACATTTGGGACTAACAGGGTTTACTAGAATCCCGCCACTCCACCACAGAGTCACCGCAGTAGACGTTAGATGAGCGCTGTCGCTCCGCGGCACTTGTTATAACAAGTGAACACTGTTCGTCAAATAGAAACAAAGATGGAGTAGAATGGTTCAATATTTGTGTTGTATTCGTATGAAATCAAGCGAGCATCGAGCGAATTTTTGGCAGCACGCTTTCCTACCTGCTATATATTTATGTGTCAGTGTGCAGCAGCTAGCGTGCGGTTTACTTGTGTGTTGCAGATGAGCATTTGACCGGCATTTACAGGTGATTATAGGCGAAATAGAGTAGAGAAACATTAAGACTTTGGTAGTAACTAAATTTTGTGTTTATATACCTTTTTTTTTTATTGAGACGTTCCAAGTGCCTGTGATTCGACCGTAATCGCAGTAGTACATGTGTGGCAGGTTGTTTTTCTAGGTGTCTCAATTTAACACATTTCAAACGAGAAGCAGTACCGACAACTTTCAGTTTCAAAAATTTGCATAAACAGTAAAACCAGGAAATAAACACATTACTTATTTTTATTTTAATGATTTTCAGAGTGTACGTCTAGAAATGCAAGTTGTGAAACCTGTGTGGAAGATGTCAGGGTAAGTTGTTTCTTATTTGTTCTAATTGTTACTGCTGCACAAATCAAATTGAACGGTGACAGGCATTTACCCGTTGTTTTTATATGTAGAGAGTGTATTCATGATATTATTATTACTTCTTATAATTGTATTATTAGCTCATCTGACATAGTCAGATGCAGCTTGTAGAATCGCTTGATCGTCCGTCCGTCCGGTCGTCCGGTCGTCCGGTCGTCCGGTCGTCAGGTCGTCCGTCAACAGTTGGGCACAAATCTTAACCGCTCGACGTACGGTCACGATATTCGGGTCGTTGGTCACAATTTCGGGTGCGCGGTGGAGCGCGAGCGCGATCGCGCCCCTTAAAAATGAAAGCCTGATAAGGTCTCTAGAAACACCATTTAAAAGTTGAAGACTCTACCTAGTGGGGGGAATACTTAAAAATTTGATTTATTTTCTGCCGACTCACCAATTTTTCAGAAATCGATATATCAGCTTAGGAAGCACCTACAGAGCTCAGTAACCACTTCAAAATGATTTTTTGAATCGCATTTTTCATCCCTACGCGAGTAGCTAACCGGAATTTCAACATATATGAACAGAAGACACTTCAATAATCATTCTAAACTAACGATTGATGATATTGTATAAAATACAGTTAATGTCATGAGCTAGATTATTAGATTGATTTACTTGTCACTTCAAGATTAGAAAAATTCTTTGGAATAAAACACTTTAAACACTAGAAAAGATAGAGAAATAGTGCAAAAGGAGTCTTATATCAGAGCGATTACAGATTATATGTTCGTCATCAAACTCGGAGAACAATCATCCCCCTCATCTTGAGATTCAAAGTTTTCATCATTATCCTCATCGCAATCTTGGTCTTCTTCTTCGTCTACACCAGTACTGTTCTCGCAGCATTCGTGATCGCAGTCACATATATGTCAGTACAGAATAACACATGTTTTCTGCAGCTACATTGGTTGTTTCCACAGCCTGTCTTGCAGGTACAAGAAAGTATCTTCTTGATAGCTTCCGGGCAGACGTCTAAATGTCCTTGCACAGGTACCAGCTTCCCGCCACATCTCACCCAGCCGTATTCTTCTGGCTCAAGACTGTTCCCGAGCCATTGCTGGACCTGATGAAAAATCGTGTTGCTTTTGGGATTAAAAGTTATTTAACGATTGAAGATAAATCGACCATCTATTTTCTAAAGCAAAAAAGAGAACTGGACCTAACCCTCACCTGAAGATAAATCCTCAAAATATGCTGATAAGCAGTAGCAGATGTAGGAGGAAGGTCCTTTAACTGAATAGCCTTCTTCCCATTTAATTCTCCTGTATATCCTGAAATTAATAATGATTAAGATAATTAGATTTAATTATTATAAAGGTTTTAGCAATTTCATTCATAATACTAATAGACTGTTCAATTGAACATAATATATTGCAGTCATAAACCAATCTTAAAGCAAAGTGTTTACTCAGTACTGTAAATTAAGTACTCACCAAAGTCTGAGATCCTCGAGTGAATCGTGGATACCTTTGTAGTGATATAGGTAGGACAAAATGTAACTCCCCATATGCTACAGGATTCTAGTAAACCTTGTTATGTGTCCCACGACTGTGATTCACGAATAACAGCGCCGAAGACAGTGGATTGACACCAGGATGGTTCAGTTTATAGGAACCTTCTCAAAAACGAGCATTCTCGTGTTGAAGTGGGACGTTATGAAAGTGTGCCACGATGTCGCCAATGGATTTGGCAAGCTGTCGTATTAAGTGTCTTTCAGATTAAAGACTGAAGCTCCCATCTGATGTAGTGCAACAACTATCTGCAAGGGACAGAATAGGTAAGCCCACTCATCTTTACCTACGCAGCCTACAGGGCCTGCGCAGATTAGAGAGCTGCCCTGAACACAAGATTAAGGCAAAACTCCACAGGTACCACAACACAATGGCAGCTGTATGCCAGGTGGCAGTGCGCATACGTTACATCGGAGTCAGATAAAGGCGAAGGAGTTGACTCAATAAACAAGGGAAATTCGGTCATTTATACGCCTTATTAATACTACGATTTACTACGCTAACTCATCCAACTTGAGCCAAATCTCTGGACACGGCACGTGTACATTCGCCAATCATCGTAACCAAATCAGGTTTTCCTCAATTAGACACTCGCAATCCGGAAATACAGACTAAAACAATACGACACGAGTTCTCCAATCTTTGTCATTAATCAACCGTAGCAATCGCCTTATGATTCAAACAAAAAAGGCAGCTACTAACCAACACTGTCCAACCTGAGCTTGCGGTTCACGGCGAGGCGCTGTGGCGACTAGCAGGTGATTAGGCCCGATTCAACGCCAAACACTCGCTGCGAGATAACCTTTGACCCGGTAGTTAAGATAGGCTACAATGTTATGCCTGTATGTCATACCGGGCATGCCGGCACGCCCAGCTGCCGCAATGCCGGCTTAGCTCCAAGCAGCAGGATCGGCACTTTGAAATTCGTCCCTGCGAGCACTAGCGCCTCGCCTGCGGTGAACGCAAGCCGGTGGACAGTGTACGTTAGTAGCTGCCCTGTTTTGTTTGAATCATAGGCGATTTGCTACGGATTGATTAATGGACAACAGATTGGGAGAATCGTATGTCGTATGTTTTGAGTCTGTATCTTTGCCGGGATTGCTGAGTGTCTAATGAGCGAAACGATTTGGTACGGATGCATGGCGCCGAACCTGTACATGTGTCCGATTGAAGCTCAAGTTGGTTATGAGTTACCGCGTAGTAAATCGTCTTACTGGTATTATAAAGGTGCTAGTAAATGTGAACGAATTTCCTTGTTTATTGGAGTCACACTCCTTCCTTTCAAACAACTCCTTTATTCCATTGCTTGGTCACATGTACCCTTTCCCTAACACACTACTTGTTTGTGTTAATGTCGGGCACTATTAAATTATACGACTTTACAGGACTGCATGAAACTTCTATTAGGTTTTCTTTAACCCAAATTTAGCTTATTGAAATTGTCACTGTGGACATTGTAGCCCTCATTTTTGACTCCAGACACATGAGACTTATATGATATGTCTACTAGCAAACCCTCGGCAGTCAAATTCTTGTCTATACAGTATCAGTCACGTCGAAACAAGATCCATTGTTTAACCCTCCTGCTTATACGTTGAGGGTCAAAAGGTTTATCAGAGCACTTACTCTGTCGCACGTCAGTCGGAAAGCCCAATTCTCGATGCGTTCTGCTTCCACACACTTTCGCTGTTAACAGATCACCATCATATTAGCCAAGAAATAGACTTTTGTCATTAGCTGAGATTGCTCTCATGCACATTTTTTTGTGCGTCTGTGTTAACGTTTGAAACAAAAAAAGTTTTCCAATCGCTCGTCTAGGCAACACAAACTATGTTCGAGTAAGATATGTGTATTCGTAAAATCTGGCCTCGCAATCGAACTTGCTTTGTGCGTTTTGACCTTTGACGTGACCTCCAATTTCGGCACCGGTGATGAAGTGTTTTTTCTACCTAGTACAACTCGTATTCTCGACGGTTACACCGACGTTAATATCACAGAGTTCTGCGATTAGCCGTTTAGATTAGTGTGTAATTGTTGCCGACAACTTTCGTCCGCAATTGGTTCGCTAATATATTCCTCCCTATACCTTCAAGTTCTAAGGTGACGCGACATTACTCGTTTCTGTCCCCCTCTCCTGTGTTTACACCTCTATCGACCTTTGAACTTTGGACCCCCAGCCTTCGACATTACATAACTCGTCTGTTGACCGATTCGCCCGAGCAACTTTCCGCATCCCCAACCGACCGAATATCAGGTGACCGTACGTCCGACGTGCACGCCGCCCGTTTAAGCACTTTGTGCGTACACGCTCCAACTGTGACGGACGATGCCACTAGCAGACTTCGGGTCATAACGTTGACCGATGGCAAACAACTTTGCTCGTAACATTGCAACAAACCTTTCGGGTCGTAACGGTGACCGGTGCAACAAACTTTGCGGCGTCGTAACGTGCAACAACTTTTCGCATCGTAATGACGTATGCGACAAACTTTCGCGTCGAAACGTTGCGACAACTTGTCGCGGTTGTGACGTTGCAACATCTTTTATGCGTGTATTGTAGACATCCGGTGCAAACACTTTGCGTCGTAAAGCGTATTGCAACAATAGTGTCGCGTCGTAACGTTGCAACAAACTCTTCGCGTTGATACGTACGATGCGACATCTTTTGTGTCGTAACGTCTTGCGAACAACTTCTGTGCCTCGTAACGTCGTGCGAACAAACTTTGCGTACGGATTAACGTTGCGACAACATTCGGTCTCGTAACGTCCAGTGTGCTCGTGACAACTTTTGCAGTAATCGTTTGCGACAAAGCTTTCGGACGTAACGGCGGCGTAACGTTGCCAAAAACAACTTTCGGGTCATAACGTTGCCAACAAACTTCTCGCGTTGTACACATGTGCAACAACTTGTCGGCGTCTTAACGTTGCAACAACTTTTGGGTCGTACACGTGCAACAACTTTCGCCACCGTAATGTTGCCGACAACTTTCGCGTCGCAAACGTGCGTCAACTTTCGCGTCGAAACGTTGCCAGACAAACTTTCGCCCGTTGTGACGTTGCAACAACTTTGCGTTGTTAACATCTGCAACAAACTTTTGCGTCGTAACGTAATGCAACATCTATTTCGGGGTGCGTAACGTTTGCAACAGACTTCGCGGTCGTAACGTTGCAACACTTTCGCCACCGTAATGTTGCGACAACTTTTCGCGTCGAA